TCGCATTGAATAACACCCCCTTAGTTACAAACTTACAACGTCCTTTTGAATTTTCATTTAGTGTAACATTTTATTCAATGGAATAAAGTCCATACAAGCTTTATTCAATGGAAAATTGTGAAAATTCTCCCAAACTCTACAAAAATTCCTGCTTAAAAAAAAAAAATTGAGTGTCATTAAATCATAAACGACATCGTAGTTCTAGGAACATTGTATGAATTAGCAATCCAGAACATAGGCAAATGGAAAAAAAAAACGTTTGGAATTTCACTTGTTTAGACGTCATTTTTTTATGTGGATAATCATTTATTAACAAGGGAAATTGTGTCATAGTAGCAAAAAAACCAATATGTAAAAACCTAACTAATTACTCTAATCTAATGGTCAAGATTTTTGCCACATTTATCAATTTTGGTTAATTGCTTATATTTTTTTTTTTTGGTTATTGAACAAATGAAACCTATTTACAAATATCATATTAAAATGTATATTTTTAAACATTTCAATGTGGTTTTTTTTTTCCCCCTGTAGTATGTTTTTTGTTTTTGTTTGTTAAATAGAGATGATTTAAGAAGCCGACAACAAAAATAGAGATGATTTAAGAATGTTAACAAAATTGCTCATGGGCTGATCCAACATAACAGGCCCATAAAAATTAGGCCTTAAAACTTATCTTCCTTCCTAACACACGGATTTGCCGCAACTTTCAGTTTCCACTAAAGTCGGAAACTCCAACACTCTCTCCGCCGCACAAACACACTCACCGACAAACACCAATGTCTTCTTCTCCGGCGACTCTTCCCGTCACAAACCAGCAAGCCAGTCAACCTCCGATCAATTCTCACGCCTTCCGTACATTCCTCTCACGCCTCTCTTCCTCTCTCCGCGAAAGCCTCTCTCAACGCCGTCCATGGATGGAGCTCGTAGATCGGACCTCATTCGCTAGACCTGACTCTCTCACCGATTCCTTCTCACGGATCCGTAAAAATCTCGCTTACTTCAAGGTTAATTACTCAGCAATCG